TTGGGGAAATAATCCGGACCACGTCATAGTTACCGGTTGTCTATGGGTACTATTTATTTGCCTACATTGCATGGGCTATGGCACGGTCACCAAGATCTTCGATCCAAGCTTCGTCAAGCCATTCCAACAGGACACCGTCAATCCCGTATGGCCTGGAGTGTCATCTTCATTACGCTGGTTCATCGCCTGCTGTTGGACCGTTCTCGCCTTCACAGTACCACATCTCGGCTGGTTCTTCATAGCTGTCGCTGTGTCAACCTTGACGACTTGGGTTGGTGTCCTTATCGATTTAGATCACCTATGAACCTGTTACAACCCGTTACCTACCTACCTACAACCCGTTACAACCCGTTACAACCCGTTACCTACCTACCTACCTACCTACAACCCGTTACAACCTGTTACAACCCGTTACGTAGTCCGCGTAATGTTAATGGGGAATGTTTAAATGGGTATCGTCTTGACGAATGCTCCGACTACCTGCCCCTACTCCTGTTCAAGGACGACAGTGAAGGTGAAGTCTTCGACCCCCCCCTTCCCGGGAAAAAAGAACCATGAGTTGCTTATTGCAAAAGTTGATCAAAGGTGACATCCCTGCACTTGTATTTCCGCAGATGATAAACGAGTTGGCGTTGTGAAACAACATCTTTATGCAATGGGCCACCTCCGCTAGTACGGATAGATCCTTTCATGGTATTAAATTCTTCGCATCGTATGGGTGTCTTGAGCAGGAAAGATTTGCATAGTGTTTCGGGGGAGAGTTTTTTGAAGTCGAGTCCATATTGCTTCAACGGGTGTTTGTAATAGTTCTCTACGAATTCGATATAAGCATGTTCTGCGAAATTAACAGTCCTAAAGTGCCTCTTCGTCACCTGCCAGGCTTTATGTAGAACATCTTGGTAATGTTTCAGACCACCCTGCTGGCTCACTTGCGTATGCTTCACATTATAACTATCGGGATGATAGCTATCAATGGCAGTAACGAGAGGACGCTCATGGTCAAACAGCATCAGGATCGAGATAGCGCTTTTCGGTAACCCGGACAGGATTTGTAAGTAGAATTCCAAACTCGGAATCGGGTCAAAAAAATAGACACGCTTTGCTTCGGACATAACTCCTCCCAATTTATTAACATATTCATCGTACGTAATTATCTTCACTCTTGTATTAACACCATCCCTCTCACTATTAAGTACCGTCTCATCCTCGTCATTGTTGGGTACTTTAAAACCGACACATTCCGGCTCGTTGTCCGTGACCATAGATATAAGACTGAAGAGGAAACATCCGCTCCATTTCCCACCACAGAGCACCACGGACAGACCGGTGGAGACTTGTAACATCTTCAGCAACAATCCAATACGGGAATCATCCACCTTACTCAATGTATACATACACCTCGGGCCTCCCATTTTTTATTCCCCTCTTTATTCCTCCCCCATCATGCTCGCTCGGACCTCCCCCATAATCACTCAGATCAGATAGGTCAGTCAAAGGGTTTTGCGCGCGACGAACACCACCAATTCGCGATCCATAACTTCCCGGACGAGCATTGTAGAGTCTTCAACGATCGTCCACTCGGGCGTTGACTCCCTGTCTGCAATTTGGGTTGATGACTTAAAGAGTCTTGGAAGCTCGAACCGGTCAGTAAGACATTGCTCGGGCTTCGCGGGTCGTTCGCAACCAAGGAGGAAATGGTGGTAGACAAATGCCGTCTTAGCCAAGTTCCTTAACACCGGGAGCAGACCCCGTACGAAAAAGCGGCTGACATGCACTATGTCCACGGGACCTATTGCCTTAAGTAGCTCTTCATCTACAAGGCCTACCACATAGGTAATCGAACCGTTATCGGTAATCGAACCGTTATCGGTAATCGAACCGTTATCGGTAATCGAACCACTCTTTTGGACCGTTGGATCCCACACGAAGTCGTTGCGGCTGAGGACATGGCAGGGTATGTTGAATGTGGCGGCCATTGCCCGACAGGTATCAGCAAGCACGAAGCGTTGATCGACGCAGAAAACACGCGCGCCCTCACGTGCGATTAAAATTGCGTCTCGACCAGCACCACTACCCGGATCAAGTACCGTGCGACCGTGCAGGCCGTCACCCTGGAGTGCCAGCAGTTTAGCCAGAGCAGGGTTCGGTTGGAAGAGTGGCGTCTGTCTGAACGGGCCGCCTGTCGAAAACACCACGTCCTGCCGTCTCCTCAACTCCGTCCACGTGTAGACCTCTACTCCATGTCGACCATGATCGCCGAACCACTGCCTGATCTGATCGCGTTTCACTTCCTCCACTGCGGTGCCAACGTCTTCGGTGCCAACGTCTTCAATGCCAACATCTTCGGTGGGAATGTTCGTGCGCGTGTCAAACAATATCAACAACTTTACCTTCACTGACGGTAACGCGCTGAACCTCAAGTCATGCAGGCTGCTCCTATAACTGTCCACTACCCAATCTGTAATCGGCTCCGGGCGTACATCTAATACACGTGTCATTAATAATTAGGCCAGCCTGAAAGAAGCAGGGGGGGGGCATCACCGCGGGGGCATCACCGCGTGATTACAACAACCACGGATCAGTCTTCGGTCGTTGCCGGCCACCCGCGGTCGAAGCGCATGCTGCCGGCACTTGCTTCTCTACCAACGGTAAACTAATCAACCGCCACGATTCGCTTTCCTACAAACATTGGAATAAGGGTGGCATTCCATACTTCACAAACTCCTTTACCACACTTTTCTTGCTTTCGATGCAAATGTTCCAAAAGTACTCCCTATTTGTGTCTGATCCGAAAGAGTCTTTCCACTCCCACTGAGCTCTAGTTGACTGGCTCGCTCTCACACGGGAATAAATATCTTAGGCGATATGTCAATTGCGCTCATTATAATGTTTGTCGTAAAAATTATAACCAACCTCCGAGTCGTTGGACACGTGTGTGCGCACGTGTGTGTGCACGTGTGTGCACACGTGTGTGCACATGTGT